GTCGTGTCCTCTTTTGGAAGACCAAACAAAGTAGTTTCGCTTTCACAACGGAAAACATGGCGGCCTAGCATGAGTGGAAGCCGCGGCTAGAGTGAGCAGAGGCAGCGGGGTTGAGAACGGCGCGGCCGGCACATTTATAATCTTGCAAAAAAAATTATATTTCAGATAAATGCTGTTCTTCTGAACTTTCTATTAATCAAAGATACCTGTAAAATGAAAATTCAGCTGTTTTCAACATAATAATAATAATAATAATTAATGTTTTTTGAGCAGCAAATCAGAATATTAGAATGATTTCTGAAGGATCATGTGACTGGAGTAATGATGCTAAAAATTCAGCTTTGAAATCACAGGAATAAATTACATTTTAGAATATATTCAAATAGAAAAGAGTTATTTTAAATAGTAATATTTAATATTTCACAATATTACTGCTTTTGCTGTATTTTGGATCAAATAAATGCAGGCTTGGAGAGAATTCTTTAAAAAACATAAAAAATCTTACTGTTCAAAAACTTTTGACTGGTATACATATATATCTCTAAGTGGTGGTGGGCCGCCTGGACCAAAAAATGCCAGGGCCGATTTTTTTGTCCCAGTCCAGCCCTGGATGCGACACTGCCTTCATTGTGCAAGTGACATTTCCTGTGTCAACTGTGTAGTGTGCAGCTCCCTTATAGTGCAGATGCAATGTGGTGATTTGAAGCCAATTGCATTTGGGATAGGGATTTTGATAGGGAAAGAGAGAGCGTGCGGTAATTCACTCATGCTGCTTGTGAAATTACATCTCACAGAAAGCTTTTAAATGACTTTGTAAGTTATTTACTGAAGAAATATGAATTGTACCTCAAGCATTATAATTATTTTACCCTCGCCAGACAGAGATTGAGATGCGGCCACTGCACGTCATGCCAAACCTTTCACGGCAGGCATGTCGTCAGCTTGAGATCGGTTTATGAGATCAGCCTTTATAGAAGCCGCCGATCAAACTTCCCAAAACGATTATCAGCCGATAGCGATCAGTAGCCGATCAATCGGAGCACCCCTAGTATATGTACAATAGAACAAGGATGCCATTATAGTTCAATTAGCCATTCAGAAAGCATGATATGGCATAAGAGCTTAAAAGCAACTGCACAATGGCCTCCCTGCTGCACTTCAGTATTGCATAAGTTTGTTTTAACGATCAAACTCCTGGAACTCATTGAACTATTAATGGTTCTTTAATATCATTGAAAAAGAAAAAAAGACCTGGAGCAAAATCAAGGCCAAAATTCAAGATTGAACTAGTTATTGACATCAAGCCCAGAGGCCATGTGGACTCAAGAGTTTGAGATAGATAAAGTACAGACCCTTGAGCATTGTGTAAAGATGTTGTGATACTCTAGATAAGACTGAAACACACCACTGTTCAAAAGTTTGGGGTCAGTAAGATTTTTTTTTACATTTTTGAAAAAAGTCTCTTATGCTCACCAAGGTTTAATTTCTTCAATCAAAATACAGTAAGACCAGTAATATTGTTAAATATTATTACCATTTTAAAGAACTGCTTTCTATTTTAAAGTATTTTAAACTGTAATTTATTCCTTTGATGACAAAGTTGAATTTTACTCCAGTCGTCAGTGTCACATGATTCTTCAGAAATCACTTACTATTATGTTGAAAAAAGTTGCCGCTTACTATTTTTTGGAAAGTGTGATAATTTTTTTTTCAGGATTGAACTCTCTGATTAACAGACAGTTCAAAATAACAATTAATTTGAAATAGAAATATTCTGTTACACTGTAAATATTTCTGTGGTCACTTTTAATCAATTTAATGAATCCTTGCTGAATAAAAGTATTAATTTCTAATAATTTCTCAAAATGTTTCTTAATATCTAAAAATTAATTAAATAAATGAAAAATAGCAATCTTACTGAATTTAGCCATTTCTGCAATACATGATAAATGCTCACCTGTACACTGTCCAACTGTTGGGGCAAGATTCGCAGGAAGTCATCAGGCAGATTGCCAAGTAACGGTGGGTTCCAGTTTTTGTAACCTTGCACTTGTCTGTGTTCAGGAGGAGGTTGGGCCTCAAATCTGAAAGATAACAGAGCCCAGTGACACTGACAACTCTCAGTACTCACATCAGAGTTATAATACAATTACAGATTAAATTTCAGATTACACAATTCATTTACAGATGTGTCTAACCTTTTTAATGTTTGTGAATTCATGGGTATTATTATCCGTACTATAAATGGAATTACATGCACATTGCATATTAAACCACATACACAAGGATCACCAAGAATTGCAGTTAGGTTAATGAACACCAGGGGTCATCATTTAGAGAATGTTACTAAAATGAATAAGGATCTTGAGACCCATGATGACCCTATTACATGTTTCATGTAATTAAACTAATGTTTCAGTAATTCATTTAAAACTGCTCTCAAACTCATTTTTTTTGTGGTAAATGGAACGAAAGATAAGTCAAGAACATCAAAGTGCTTTTTATAACCTGGGTGGAGGAACAGGAGGAGCATCCGGGTATTTCCTGTCATATATGTGCATGTCATATGTTGGTGGCGAGTAGACAGGGGGCGGCTCTTCGTCTGAGCTGTCTGGCTCGAGGGTCCGCTCAAGAATCTGGTAAAAGCACAAGAGAAAACAAATGCAAGTAGCAGCAACATGAAACTTTTAGCGCGAAAAAAGGCCAAATTATATTTCTATTGCACAGATCCATTCACATATTTAATAGTGGCCAGCTGATAAAACCGTTAATGGTAGAAGGAATGTAAAAAAACATTGGTTCTTTGGTAAGTTGACAATTAAATAAAACTAGACTAATCTTTGTTAATCGCTTTAATTTAATTTGTTCATAATTAAATTAAATCAAATTACTGCTATTAGCATTAGCTAGTGAAATTCTGGTACCATGACAATTAACAATTCTAATTTATCTTCTGTACACGATGTAATGAATACTATTTCTTCTTTATTTTTATTGTATCTCAGATCAATGTTTGCTCTGATTTTCATATAAATATTTAAAATATTAAAAAAATTATAATTGTTTAATTGTAAATAAAATAATAATAATTGTACTTTTTCTTTTTGTATTGGTTAATATTTGCTGAGATTTTCATACAATTGGTTAATATTTGAATAAAAATTACATTACATTAAACAGAATATTAAATAAAAAATTAAATTAAATGTTGGTTATATATTAGACATCAGTATCAGCTATCATTTTTTTTAAATTGTATTTTTGGGCAATGTTTGCTGTGATTTTCATACTAATAGCATATGCAGTACAGTATATACTGTTTTCAACATCCCCATCTAAACATAATATTATAAATAATGCAAGAGAAAAAAATACACCAATGGGGAATGAACTTAAAAGCAGAGAATCATGGCAGAACGTATAAACAAAATGCACTGCAGTTTATGCTTCACTTAGGATCACATCAAAGTCTAATGGCAGAGCATCTCCACTGGGCCATGAAGCAGATGGTTATGGAGACACAGACAGATTGTAATGTTTCTCAGAACTATCTCGGGGCCCAGTACTGACACACTTTTTTATCAGAGCAGTCAGGTGTAAGAGGATTGTGGGTGAAAAACATATTGATTACTACACCCGACTTAAAATAAGGTGTGAATGAATGCAACAAAACTTAGCTTCAATTTCAGTCTGTTTCTGATGCAAAACCTACGGTATGACTAAAGAAAACTTATATAATAAACACTAATATAGAGGTCAGTATTGTCACATGAAAATATATAATAAAATATTTACAATAATGTGAGGGGTGTACTCACTTCTGTGAGATACTGTATATTAAAATGTCACTTTTTGTCTTCCACTGAAAAAATGCGATAATATGTGCAATAAGTGTTACAACAAGTACTTTAAAAGACACTGACCTCTGGTGGGATGCTGTCGTCTGAATCCGAACTGTCATCTGAGCCTTGTCCGTCAATGCTCATCTGCAGGAGTTGGTCGATGGTGGCATCCACAGCCCCATTATTGGAGCGCAGTACGCACTCAATCACCTCATAGTCCATGCTAGGGAACATGGTTTTAAAGTCCTCCATGGCCTGATTGAACTCCAGCCGTCGAACTTGCCGGTTGGGCCTGGAGTTGTTGAGCTCACCTGTAGCCGAGCCCCCACCATCCCGAGACCCTCCATTACTGCTGCTGCGTCGGAAAAGGCTGGTCATCCTACAGGTAGACCCGTTTTCTTACCTGACCAACGATGCCACGCAGGAAACGTTGGCACCTACTTTTGCCTGAAGTCTCCCACAAAATATATCTGTCCGCCTCACTTGTTTCTTTGATTTCTGGAACTATTAAAGTTCACTTTTTCATCATTCCGAATCCAATCTAGTCCACTGGAGCGAGAGAAATCCTTTCTTTCTCTTCTTCTGCTTGTTAAGCGGCATCCAACACGACAGTACGGAGTCGCCGACACGAGGGAAGTAGACGGTCTGGTCTTGAGCGCTCTAGCTTTGTGTCCGACTGTGCGATCTCCCCATTAGCTCTGCTCAAACTGAAAACAAATACACAGCACACACATACACACACACAGATAGATAGATAGAGAGTTTATATTTATTTATTAAATTTAATACGTTTGTTTAAAAATGATATAAAATGTATAAATGTATAAAATAATTTCATAAATAATGATAAAACATTTTTAATCATCCAAAAACTTTTATTTCAAGGTTTAAAATATATATTTTTTTAAAAGAAACATCAATTATTGTCAAATAGCAAATCTTATTTTAAAATGCAAATGCATTAATTTACCTTTTTTGGACTACGTAATGCTTGACCATCCTCAGGCCTCAGTCTTCTTCACATCTAGTGGTTCAAAGTTTTCCATATATCTGCTTTCAGTTATGATGCGAAACAGGAATGCTTAAAAATGTGTAAGTCTGCAGAGCATGGCTGCAACTTTGCTGTGATGTTCTGGGATCTCATATGGCTGCCTCATTAGTTGCCCCATTTCCACCCTCCCTTTCTCTCCCCTCTCAGTACAGGGCAGAGAAATCCCTGCTTCGGTGAAACAATGCACACAGCCGAGCCCGACCCAAGCCCACATGGCACTGCCAGGACCCAGGACCCAGCACCCCTCACCAACCTCTCGTTGGCATGGAGACATTTTGTGATGTAAACAGGATGCTTCGCCGTGCACTGATATGAAAGTGTATGCACGCCTGCAGGGATGCACTGTTTAATGCTTGAGGAAAAATTATTCTCGTGGACAATTTCAGTGGCTTGAGTATTGTGTTCAAAAGGTATTGTTTTAGTTCCCTACTGAACCAAGCTCCTATTTTGCATCTACTTAGTCATTCGGGTTAGACGCTGTGATGCCTTGACGACGCACAACAAGAAAGGTCACCGAAACAAGAGTGGCTTTCTAAGAGCATGACCTATTTGGCTGGGAGTAATGACAACTCAGAAAAATAAGCTGAGGAGAACTGTGATTTCTGGAAAATCCTTGGTCTAGGATATGTTTAAGTTTATTATAGTGCTTTCAGGCAATGCTGTGTTGATATTACTTAAAACATGCTAATTCAGGGTTTACCTAAAATTTGACTTCTAAAATAATCTGCCTGAACTGCTGAACATACAAACATTTTTCTGATTATAAATTTCATAAGCTTTCTTTATAAAAGAATAAAAAAAGTCAAAAAATCTCCTTTTGACTTTCATTTTTTAAATGTTTACCAGCAACAGCATTTAAAATGTAACCAACAGTGATGATGTCATCATACTATTTGCATACTGAATTATGATTGTTATTTTCTTTCTTGCATTTGCTACTGTTCAAAAGTTTGGTGCCAGTATTTTTTTTATTTTTATAAATTAATACTTTTATTCAGCAAGCATGCATTAAATTGATCAAAAGTGACAGTTAAGACATTGCTACAAAAAATGATTCTATATTCACAATCTTCAAGAAACAACTGAAAACTCTTCCGTGAGCATCTAACTGCCTCATAATAATAATAATAAAAAGATTCTATGCCTTCACGTTTTCTGTTCTCTTATTGTCCTATCTTTTTACTTTGAACAATGACTGAAACCTTGTATAACGGACACTTCTTGTGTTTATTGTCATCTTATGATAAATCGCTTGTTGTATTCTGTAACAGTAAGTCGCTTTGGATAAAAGCGTCTGCCAAATGAATAAATGTAAATGTAAATAAATGCAGTTTTTTTTGTAAATGTCTATTTATCAGATAATTCTGAAAAAAAATGCATCATGGTTTTCACAAAATGTTTCTTGAGCACCAAATCAGCATATTAGAATGATTTCTGAAGGATCATGTGACACTGAAGACTGACTGAAAATTCTGTATTGCATCACAGGAATAAATTACATTTTTAAATATAAATAAAATAGAAAACAGTTTTTTAATGCAGCCTTGGTGAGCATAAGAGACTTCTTCCAAAATAATTTAAAAAATCTTACCAACCCCAAACTTTAAAACTGTAGTGTATTTAAAAACAGTGAGTTTACACTGCAATTACAATAATTTAATAGTATTATTAATAATAATAAAAAGTCCCTTTTAGATGCATTTCATGGTCTATAAAACCCTCAGCCTGTAAATAGTTCCTCCTCAAAAGCAATACTATATTTAGTGCAAAGCTGCTCGGTGTCTGGTGGAGTATTTCAGTATGGAATTTTTTCAGTATTATTTAAACTCCCATCCGGGATCCCTGGAGACAGGAAATGGGGGAACAGGATGCTCCATAACAGCCTTTAGAAGTCTCAGAAACTTGTAGCAGGTTTAGTGCAAAGACAATATTCTATAATGTAATATGAAATGTCAATAAATCAGAAGTGTTAAAAGATAATCTAGTAAACTATTTTGTTCACAATGAATGCAAGGAAGTAAACATCTGGAGTTTGATGCACACAAAATACAAAGCTGTAGTCAATATATAGATGAGCTTATCATCAACATGCCACTTTCCACTTACCCTTCCTGCTTGAGACTCTCACTTCCTATTGTGAAGTACCCGTCTGACCCATCACTAACACCCCATATCAAAGAGCTTTGAACTGAAGATGAACACAGCAGAGATGAGTTGCAGTGCACATATAAGTACGCTCAGAGTTGGCACAGACTGCCCAAAGCCAAGGCCGCACATTCCACAGAGCTATTTTTCACATGACTATGATCTGTATCCGAGAACCTTCTATAATGGGAGCCAGATCTCGATTTTACTCCTCCGGAAAACCAACTCATTGCCTCCACTGCCAATGTAATGACAAAAAAACAAAACAAAAACTGAGCAGATGTAAACTATTCATGCAAAATGTGCTTCATAAATCTGTTCTGTTACCTGCTTAGGAATTATGATTAGTGGGATGTTTTAAAAACAATCAAAGGTAGTGGGACTTTGGGCAGTTTGGCTGCTTATTCTTACTAGGTAATATATAACCTACAAAACATCTAGGAAAGTCCTTTGACCACAGTCCAATCTATAACATGCTTTAACAGCTGTCATATAGCTGAATGGAACATTGGTTATATACAAAAAAAGAATAATAATTCCAGAAATGCACTTTTTCATTATCGATGCTGAAAACAGTAGTGTTGCTTTACTTTTTTATTTAATTTTTTTGATGAAAAGAACAGTATTTATTTAAAATATAAATATTTTGTAACATTCAAACTAGGGATGGGCATTTTGGGAAATTTCTCATTTCGATCATCGATAGGTTTCAAAAACGATTAATCGAGTAATCGGGGGCGGGGCTTGTGCAGGGGGGCGGGGCATGGCCGTAATGGATATAATGAAAAAATCTGAAGATTGTTATGAAAATGAATGTTAAAAATAAAAATATGACATGAAAACCTGTCTATGAAAACATGAACACATGATTAGGACATGTTAGATTACGATTATGATGAAGCAATGTTATTAATAAAGAAGCATCTAAAAAGGAATAGCTGCCTGAGGTGAAGAGTGACTTTATGCCAATAAACTGAAGCTCATTCTATGACACATCCTATGATAAATCAGATAACTTAGATACATAGCAGACGTAACATTACAATTTGTATCTGCACAATAGGATGCCAAGTTATGCGCTAGACAGAGAAAGTAAGAGAGAGAGAGAGAGAGAGAGAGAGAGAGAGAGCGAGCTCCCGCCGTGAGGCGTTTTCATGACAGCGCACTGAAAGATGGGCAAGGACAGAATTTACTATAGATTTCTATAAAGTTCTCATTATAAATGTATGGCAGATTTGTGCTATATGTTTGCATTTTGGTCTAACGGCAAATCATGCAATGCTCATCTGAGTTGCCGCTCTGTTATCGCTAGACATTTTATGTACAAATGTTAGATGATAGCGCATTGTACTTGTTGTAGATTTGTGTGACAGCATGGCGCTGCACAGCTTGCACTGAACTGCATTTTCATCGGTCTTCTCAAAGTGAAGCCAGACATCACTACGTGACTTTGAGGCCATGATTCTCTCTCTTCTTTTGATGCATCCTGTGGCAAGCTAACCAATCAGAGCTCAGGGCGCCGCCCAAAGTGCTGCTATAACCAATCAGGGAAAAAAATAAATAAAAAAATTCGATCATCGTTTACATGATCGATCATCGCTGTCACGGTCGAGTACTCGATCACTGTTGCTCTAACCAATCAGAGCTCAGGGCGCCGCCCAAAAGTGCTGCTATAACCAATCAGGGAAAAAAAAAATAAAAAAATTCGATCATCTTTTACATGATCGATCATCGCTGTCACGGTCGAGTACTCGATCACTGTTGCACATCCCTAATTCAAACTATATTTACTGTCACTTTTTATCAATTTATTCCAACCATAAAAGTATTAATTTCTTTCAAAACATAAAAAAAATAAATCAATCTACTGACCCCAAAGTAACTTTTGAATAGTAGTACATACACACTATATATTGTTTTTTAAACAATATATCATCATTTTAAACAAACAGGCTGCCAAGTAAATTTAATGTTCAAATAAACAACAGAAATAAGTGAACATAAGAACAATATTTAATGATTTTTTCTTATCTGCACCAATATAACACATTAAAAAAGCAACAGCTAAGTACATACTTTTTGTACTAAAACATTTAAAGCATGTAAATTGCCATTATGAAAACAGTTTCAGATTCAAAGAAATAAAGAGTTCAAACGGCTTCAAGGAAATTAGTTAAACTTCAAAAATATACTGGCATTTTTCATACTGAAGTTTAAAGCAAAGATGTTATTTATCATGTTCCTTGATTTTTCATGTTCAATCTAATACTGAATACATCACAAATTCATTATAACAAGAAGCAAGCCCTAATTATAATCTGATAGATTAATGGAACTGGATCTGACAAGAAAGCTAGTATGGATGCTGTGACACAGAATAAGAACTGCCAACCGTCCGCAGCAGACATGAACTCTTGGACCAAACAAACTCATCCACGTTAGTCAATAACTCACATGCAGAAGGTTTCCAGATCCAACACATGATGTGAATTATGGGAAAAGAAACGCATC